GTGGTTTGTGAGTGAGTGGCTGCAGTACAGTACAGGCATTTAACCACTATGCCACCAGGGCACCTGTGACTGAGAAGTAGACCTCAAAGTGGGCAGCAAAACCTCTGCAACTCACAAAGGCAGGTAATTTGGACCTCTTTGATTTGGAATTGCAGACACGTATGGAGGAAGAGGGCATTACTGCTTTTGGTGACATTTTCAAATTGCAACTCTGGTTGGTTATACAATGACACAACATAATCATGTTCGTAATGGGATCCCTGATTGGCTAGGACCACTTGTTCCAAGAAAATGAGCAATTCAGGAAAATGAGCAAATTTAGGAAAAGAGGGGTACAAACATATCAGGATTCCCAGAAGTCCAACCTACAAAACAAAAAATTACACAGAAGAATATCCTATGTAGTGCTCTGATCCTTATTCCTTTAAGGAGGAAAGTTCCTGTGGTGTGGCATCTGAAGTATTAGACTGGGATTCAGGAGATCCTGATTGCTGACCCTGTTATGCATGAAAACTAACTGGTTGGCAATGAGTTAGTAATTATCTTTCAGCCTGGCTTAATCTCACAAGATAAAGGATATGTTGTGGAACAGGAAAGCCAGGATATAAATGTAACTAATAAACTAATAAGAAAATCTGAATGTGCTCAATCAACTGTAGCAAAGCCTTTGTCTGCATAGACCACAAAAAGCTATGGCTTGCTCTTAGAGGAAAGGGAGTGCCACAACATCTGATCATCCTGATGTATAACCTGTATTCAGGACAAGAGGCTGCCATTAAAATATGGAAAAACAGGGGTCAGACAAGGCTGCATACTATCATCCTATTTATCCAACCTGTATGCAGAAAGTATATGCACAGCAGGCTTAGATTCAGAGGCAGGAATGGATTGGGGGAAGAAATATTGACAATCTAAGATATGCAGACACAATACTACTAGTAGAAACCAACAAGGTTCTGCAACAATTAATAAAAGAGTTAAGGAGGAAAGTACCAAGGTAGGCTTAATATTGAACATTAAGAAAACAAAAATAATGGCCATGGAAGATCTAAAAGAATTCATCCTAAAGGAGAAAATTGAAATAGTGAAAGAGTTCCCATAAAGGTAAAGGTAAAGGTATTTGTTAGCAAATATGAAATTAATAAAATTTTGGGATACATGTGGAGTTCCCTCTATGGCCCCAAACTGACCTCTGTGGGATGTCAGCCATAATCCTCTAAATGCCAAGTCAGGTAGGCATCAGGTGAGCCTGCCCAAACATCCGGAAAATTCCCTACCAGACAAGTTTGGGAGTTGCTAAAAGGGAAAGACCATTACCCCAAAAGTCAACATAATAAGACTTGTTTGTCCTGAGTCTCACTCTTGATGGGGCAATGATCAGATTTAACTACACCCTCTTTCTCCAGCCTTCCTTCCTTGATTGAATTGAAACCAAATGCATTATTTAGACTGGTCTCACCTAGGTTTAACAAAACTAAGGCAATTGACGTCTTTGTTCAGGCTTCAGCCAAGCCATTATGTCTATAGCTAGGAGCAAGATATTTCCTATATAAACCTTGAGATTTGCAGACTCGGTGTGCTATCTTTGGAGTGCAGCTTGGCTCCCTGTCAATCTGTGCTCTGATCATAGCTCCCTTGGCCATCCCTTCCCCCCATTTTGGTGGCTGTGCTTCACCATCATCCACATCAACAGCGGATCCAGAAAAGCCTTCAGAAGTGAGTATCTCCCATAGTCTGGCCCATCTCAAGCTATTCCTGTTTCCACTCCTTTATTTTTAGTGTGCAATGTATGTGTGCATGCAGTTTTTCCCCTTTTAATAAATATTTAGACATTAAGTGAAGAAGCCTGTCTCAGCGTCATCCATTGTGGGATCTCTTAGTCCTCTGGTATACATATCGGTACTTTGATTTCACGGGGTGTTGTTAGGGCCCTACTCTTGCATATTTGAGCTAATTATAAATTCCCCTAATTAGATCCTTCCTAATATATTCCCTATTGACAAGGTTGTCAAGTCATGTATGACCATGGGGTATGGTGCTCATCTCCATTACTAAGCTGAAGAGCCAGCATTGTCAGACTACTCTGTGATCATGTAACCAGCATGATTGCACAGAATGCTGTTTACCAATAAGTCAAAATTTTCCCATACCTTGGATCAAATACTAATTAGAACAGAGACTGTAATCAAGAAATCAGAAGAATACTAGGACTGGGAACATATGAAATAACTGATCAAGATCCTAAAATGCAAAGATAAAACTCTGAACACCAAAATGAGAATAGTCCAAGCCATGGTATTCCCCATCACTGTTTACAGGTGTGAGAGCTGGACCGGGAAGAAAGTGGATAATAATAATAATAAAAAAATCAATTCATTTGGGATGTGGTGCTTGAGAAGAGTGTTGAGGATACTGTGGACAGCCAAAAAGAAGGACAAATGGGTTGTAGACAAGCCTGAACTCTCCCTGGAAGCCAGGATGACTAAATTGAAGCTATCATACTTTGGCCACATCACGAGGAAAAAAGAATAATGAGGAAAGACAATAATGCTAGGAAAGGGAGAAGGCACTAGAAAGAGAAGACCTCATGCCAGATGGCATGCAGGGGTAGCTGTGTTGGTCATTTAGCAAATTCAAACAAAAATAGGAATGGAGGCATATTGGATTGCAAGAGAGAGGTCCTTGTTGAGATGCAAATGGACTTTAAATGTCTTGGACTTTGCAAATCTCCCAATAACCACATGGCCAGAAGGAGGAGGGGCCAGCCTGCAAAAGACACCTTCCACTTGCCATCTTAACTAAGAACAGAAACATCAAAATGCAGGTATCTGACTAACATCTCCAATTTTTTCTCCTGTTTGGTTTGTAACATCTTGCCTGATGAAGCCAGTGGAGCTTCGAAAGCTTACAACAAGTATATTGTGCATTTTGGTTGGCCAATAAAGGTATCACTGTGGTGGATTTTTGTTTGAACATGCCAGATGGTTACACTCAACCAGGGATGTCATGGGCCTGAGACTATAAAACCTGAGCAGTGCAGTTGAGGACAAGGAATCTTAGAGATGTCTCATCCACAGGTGCACCATGAACTGAGGTCCACTGGAAGGCAGACAAAAATAAACAAACAGCAATTTGATGTGACTATATATGGTTCTACCACAAAGAGAGGAGAATGGCAGTCTTTCTGTGCACAGGCATTGTGGTCACACTGAACTGGATGGTTAATCTGAGCTGGAATTGCATACAGTCCCAGAACTCCACAAGATTTCATTTGCTACCAAAAACTGGCATGCATCACTGTTACATGATAAAGTTTATTGGTGGTAAATGATGCAGCAGGATGTCTATAGCAGAGAAAGCACTGTTGTCCTTTAGTTAATGAGCTTCAGTGTCTCTCCTAGTAAGTAACAGTACTGAGTCCCTACACAACTAATTTTACCCATGCTCTCCTCTGGCTAATCTGCTAGAGCCTTGTGACTAGATAACAGATTTCCTGTGCTGGAGTGACACCCACTCCCAAGGCCACTGGAAATGCACAGATTATATAGTACAAAAGGAAACAATGGAAATCCAAATGTACAGCCATGACCTATCTCTCATCCTAATAGCTATCAAACAGCCCAAGCAGGAATGTTTACCCCTCCAGTCTGTCCCTTGTTGCTGGTCTTTCCCAATCTTAAACTGCCAAGCTAAAGTGAAACTATTTAGGAGTGCCTACTAAATATGAATTAATACCCAGTTTATACCAATGAACAGCTGTTAACATCTGGTTGTAATGCTGACCAGGATTTTAGAACTCATCTGTCTGGTGACAGGTGTCATACTCTCTACAATCATACCCACATTTTAAGATTATTTTTTTAAAAAGAGAATGAGGGAGATATTCACAAAAAGAAAACTCAGCACCGTATATTTTTAACAGGAGCTCTTTCCACACTCACAGCTGTGGCATCAAACATCCTTTGTGCCAATCACCTTTCATCAAAAAGTGTTGCCAATGAATCAAGACACCCTCTACCTGCAGGGA